TCTCTCTCACACACACACACACACACACACACACACACACACACTCACATACACACGCACACACACGCTCTCTTGGAGTTGTGTATAGCGAACATGACAAAACGTCAACACAGCATAATCAATGCCTTACCCTTCTACAACCACATCAGCAAACAAACTACGGGCTGCGCACCCGTGCCGTCACAGTAGGTCAATGTACACACCCTGGGCATTTTTGTCGTTCGTCATACCGGTCCTCTATTTAGGCCCAGCACGGTCGGGAGGTTGGTGTTTTTTTAACTTTTTTTGTGAGGGCTTCGTAGGGGCGGGGGGGGACGAATTTGTCGGGAAGAGGACCAGTACTTGGCCATGCCCAGTAAGCCGAAAAGGCAACAACCCACGCCTGCACCCTCAGCCTACACAGCGCGGCCCAGCCCTGCACCCAGCCCTGCACCTTGCTTCCTAGCCGGAGCACTACCGTCTTTGTATTCAGTTTTCAAAAAACACTAGCTAAGGGCTGCTCAGGCTGTAGGTGGCCGTTCGAGTCCACACGCCACCTGTGGTGGGAGTGCCCTGCGTCCAAACGCATCTGGAACTGGTGGGCACATCACTGGAGGGAATTTGGTGGACAAGGTGTGGAGTGGGACGAAAGATGAATCCTCCTGGGCTTCCTCCCACCAGGAACTGAGGGACATCGTGGCTGGGGTTACGTAGCCCATGTAGTGAGAGGGCTGATTTGTGAGACCATCTAGCTGAACAGAAACAGATCGAGATTTCAAAACAGACCTTTTTCGGATACGGAAATCAAGTATCTCATCAAACAAGGTCTGAACCACTCGATCTGGGTGGACTGGAGAAGGAAGGCGAAAGCTGGGAAAGGTAACAGCAGGCAACTTCGATGGTTCCTTCGTACATGGGCGAAGAATCACCGGCTCGCCGGGGTGCATCCCACAAACGGATTAGTAGTATCAAAATGGGTGCTGGAATTGAACAACACCGGTGCCAGGGGTTAGAGGGCGTACCCCCACAGGATGCTGGCAGAAGGTAGTGTAGGGGGACAGTAGGACACCACAGGGCGTATCAGAATGCTCGGGACAGCTCGGGACTTAGTAGGACGATAGGAGGAAAGGGAGACAAGGTGACACGAGGCTGAGGTACCAGGGCACTCGGTACTGGTAGGGCCACAGTGGGCCGTTAGGAGAGTGCCCTAGGGCCAGGACGCAGTCCCCTGGGCCGCTCTAGTCCTAGAAGTAGGACAGACAGAGTATTACAGGTGGAATAGTTTAGGAGAGGTCTGAAGCGGAAGCAACTCTTTTATATCCAAAATGTTGATCAGGTTTTGGAAAGTCAGAGGTAGGGACTTTCCGCAGGCGCAAGCCTGTAAGCTAAGCTGTCTGATGCTGTCAGTACTCCGGGTTGAAGTGTGAGGTCCCCGGCCTTGATTTGAATTGTTAATGCAAGAATGATACTTAAAAAAAAAAAAAAAAAAAAAAAAAAGGTTAGGCCCAAACCAACTGCGAATTCAAGAAACGGAACCCGCATAGAGAGACAGAGAAAGAGAGAGAGAGAGCGAGAGAGAGAGGGAGAGAGGAGGGAGAGAGGAGGGAGAGAGATAGAGAGACACAGATAGAGAGAAACAGAGGAGTAAGAAAAGAAGAATGCGATTGGAGTGGCTTGGTCGGAAGGTGCCTGAAGTGGCTCCATCGGTAGGTGCTTGGAGTGGCTCCGTGGGTAGGTGCTTGGAGTGGCTCGGTGGGCAGTTGCTTGGAGTGACTCCGTGTGTAGGTGCTTGGAGTGGCTCGGGGTGTAGGTGGTTGGAGTGGCCCGGTCGGTAGGTGCTTGGAATGGCTCGGTCGGTAGGTGCTTGGAGTGGCTCGGTCGGTAGG